GGGAGATCCATATAAACATTACCCACAGGACAGGATGAAGCTCGATACTGTCACGTCCAAGACAGAAATATGCTTGAGTGAAGAGAAGTTTGTGTCCACATTGTAGACAACGTGCGAAGACGGTGGACCATCTAGCAACGCAGTGCGAGAAAATGTTATATCATGACTATACCAGGACACACAATGAAGTCTTGCGATGTATTCATTTAGGACTTTGCAAAAAGTAGGGTTAAAAGCATTCCCACGCATGCAGAGCTACTCCCTTCAGGAATTCGTCGCTAACGAGAAGGCTGAAATCAGAGTCGACAGGTTGTTTTTGGATCAGATTCCTATAGAGCCGTCTTCTGAACAGCTCGAATTTGGCGTTTTCGATCCCGAATATACTACGCGTTTCATACCTTTTAATTTTACTTTCGCAAAAATAAAACGCTCTCTGATGTTATTTTCTGCGCGCACTTTGTCTGATTTATTTCATGTCCTTGTGCCTCTTGCATCAGCAATAGGTATTTCTCCTTTACATCTAGATAAACCTTAGACTTGTGCAGCGTGTTTTGCTCGAAGTGCATATCTTCTTTGACACGTTTCGCAGACTCCTCCAAGAACCGTTTTTGTGAGCACGCACGATCTGGTGATCACAGAATTGTTTTCATTTATGACTTCAGATGCAGACTTCTTTATGTTTTTTTAACACAGCAGCTCAGATTCAACCGCTTGACACCTGCCGAAAATTTATTTACATATTTAAAGATTTGCACGACGTTTACTGCAAATCCATTATGTTCTTGAATAAAAATATTACTCAAATTTTGATAAAAACGTTTTCATTACGTCTTTTTTAAATAGTTCATGCAGAAGAGCACTTGCGTAGAAGAAAAGCATACATTTTTTAGATGTTACTACCAAGGCATAACTGGAGGTTTATATCCAAATACTACTTGGTATCAGTTAATAGGTGAACATGTTGAGGTACATATCTTGAAAATGCTTTACTTAGTATTTATGAAAATTTATGAAGCAATCTAAATTAAAACTTTAGTCAGTATACATTACAAAAACATCAGGAATATTTAAAATTTAAGGTAGTATTCTTTAAGATTATTCATTCAGTAATTAATTTGCTGCATTAATAACAAAAAATTGTTCAAAATTTCCTTTGCTTCAAATTAATTTTTGCATTTTTAAAAATTTTAATAAATTTTCAAAAATTTTTGTATTTTTTAATTTATTAAATTTTTTTGAAGATTTTTACAAATTTTGGAAATTTTAGCGGTTAATTGCGAGTAAAATTTAAGATTGCTGCAGAAGAAAGAATTCGTATTCCATATGATCAATTTGTTGTACGGTGCTACAACAAAACTATGCTTGGCATTGTTAATAATCAACCATTTTACAATGATTCTGTAATTTATGAACGAGTTTTTGTGACTTTTTCCAAATATGTAATTGTTTATTTGTGCAAAATATTTTATTTTTTCTCGAAATATTCCAAATGATGGCATTAACTGAAATTTTATGATTATAAAATTTTTAAGAAATGGTATAAATTTTCATTGTTATATGTTTAATAAGGTAATGCTTTTTAGCTTGAAGAAGAAGAGAGTAAACAGTCAAAGTTTGCTCGAGCAGATCCGGTAAGTTTTGAACAATTTAACAGTTTTTACAAATATTAAATTGTGGAAATTACAACTTTCAAAAATAAGCAAATTTTATATTAGAAGTGTATTATCGAAGAATATGTTTAAATTTTATGAAAAACTAAAAAACCTGAAAAAAAAATTTTTGTTAAAAATAAATAAATTAATTAATTAGCAATTTATGATGCATTTTTTAAATAAATGAATAATTTTGCATATCATACACAATCATTGTTTTCTGATTGCAGGAAAAACCATCACTAAGCATTCTTGTGCTTGATTCTATCGCAAGAAACCAGTTTTTACGACATATGTCTAAAACCGTTAATTATATGAAGCAGCTCGGTTTTATTTTTTTAGAAGGTTATTTTTAATTTTTGTAAAAACATATATATATATATATTTAATTAGCTATTAATTTGTCATTCGAATACAATTCTGTTCACATTTTCTGGCCTAAAAATTTAAAATCTTTTAGAAAATACCCACAAAATGTTATATTTATAATTTTAGGATATACAAAAGTAGGCGATAATTCTGCGGTAAATTTGCTACCAATTTTGTCTGGTAAAACGATATTACCTCAAGTTGGTGGAGATGGTAGCGAAGTTTTAGATCCAAATAAAGTAATACCATTAGAAGAAATAGATTTTTTATGGAATATGATGAAAGGTAATTGTATATTTTTTCTAATTTATTTCGCACATAGAAGACAAATTTGAAGAATTAAGTGAGAAAAAAACTGATTGCTGAAATCAATAGAAAATAAAAAGTTAAAACATAAAATAAGACATGATAAATAATATTTACTGATAAGAATTAATTAACAGTAACATATTTACTGGATAAAAAGTATACTTTTTATAGTACTTCAGTTATATTAACTGTAAAAATACGATTGAATCAAAAGTAATCGTTATAGTATGCATTTGATTGTATTAACAGTTATGCCAAAATAGAAAGCAATCAAATCAACAGTAATATTAGATTTATAGTAATATGTTATTAAAAATGTATTACTGTATCATATTTTACAATAGCTATGTAAAATTTCAAAAAAGTAGAATAAAAAGTGAAATAAAATATAATAGAAATGTTAAAAAATCATAAAAAAGTGAAAATGTAAGATAAGTATGAAAAATGAATGTAAATATAATAAAAATAAAATTAATAAAAATAAAATGTAAATATAAAAGTAAAATGAAAATATAAAAAATTAAAAAATTTTACAATGTAAGAAAAACTAGTTGAAGACAGGAAGTGTTTAACAATGGTCAACGATGACATCGCTGATGTAAATCGTGGATTATTCCATTACCCAGAAAAAACATTCCAAGGATATAAAGTGCCACCAACAGATTTTTATTTTCGACCTTTTCACCTTTACAGTACTCGCCATGATATCGTGGCAAAAAGCCTATGCATGCGCTCTGGAGAAGTAATACTTGACCATTATCATAAAATAAAAAAAACACTAATGAATCTTTATGATCACTAATTATTATACGTGCTCATTTGTAATATAATTATGATTTATTCTGTTCCAAAGTAATAGTTATGATATATCGCTAAAACGAAGCTTTTGCTTGAATTAAATATTTTGAGTTACTTAATTTTAATTGATTAAAATATCGAATTTGATCAGATTGCAATAGTTTTCGTATTTAATCGAATTTTTTAGTCATTATTAATAATTAAATTTTGTGTCTGTTTTTTGATTATTTCAAATTGTAATTAGGCGTTTTTCCTGACTTTCACTAATGCTAAAATAATAAAGATATGCACTGAAATGTATTTGGATATATGGGAGAGATTTTCAACAAAATTCAAGGATTTATGCCATTTTTCATTCAATTTTCTAACCCGCTTAACACATGATAACCCGAACTATATCGGAGCTATTGACCAACGATTGGTGTGAGTAAATTTGCATTTTTGATTTCTGATTATTTTATATTTTATACTGAATTACTTGCAGTGTTTGATTACTAAAGTTAATTATTAAAATCTTTAACAAATAAAAATGTTAAAATTGAATTTTTAAATTGTTTAGATGAACCACTTAAACATTATGAATATATATTGCTTTCCAGTTGTGCTATTCCATCCATTTGATTTACTTTTTACAACAAAAGCATTAACTGTTTGAAAAAATAATCTCGTTTCAATAAAACTGAATTACGTATTGCTTACTTATTCTTTCAATATTTACTAATTTATTAAAGCGAAATTCGTATTCTCGATTGGCGCTAATCAGAGTTATGAATTATTTTTTGAGAGCCAGAAATTGATACGGTAAAAATGTTATTCCAAAAAATTACATGTTTGTTATTAGTGAGAAATATATAATTTTGATTTCCATCAAAATATACAAGTAATCATAGCTTAATTTTTACTGCTATTAAGAGCTATATTATTCTTTATTCTCATCAAGAACGTATCTAAGAAATGTAAGCCACAACGTACTGACTTTTAGACAGTAAATTCATTTTTACTGAATATCATTTTTTGACGTGAAAATGGTTGTAATTTAAAAATTTTGTATCGCGTGAATATTATTTTCCCTTTTTGCTAGGATTAAGAACAAAATATCGGATATTAACACGTACGCTAATAAGATATAAATGGAATATAATATCAGATATACAGCAAATTCAATAAAATAATACGGGAGTAAATATAATACTCAAACAAAAAGTTACTTGTGGAGAGGGTTTTCGTAGAAATTTTTTTGCTTTTGTATTTTGTAGGTTAACAATATGCTTTTATTAATCAATATAAAATCACAATATTTGATTTCAAGCTTCCAGAACATCACTACAACGTTTGTTCGCAAATGGCGTGCTAAATTCAACTGTACTGGTAGTGATGGGCGATCACGGGAATCGTATTGGTCTAATTCAGCGAACATATATTGGTCGTATTGAAGAACGAGCACCTTTGTTTAGCATTAGATTACCTGATGGTTACGTACGTAAGTATAAACAGGAAACGTGGAATTTAAAATTTAACACTAAAAGGTAAGAAATGGCTGAAGTTTATTTGCACAAGTCTATTCATGAATTCCTGATTATATTTTTTAAATAAATATATAGTGAATACTTCATGATCATGATTATAATAAAAATTGAGGCATTTATTTATAATTATACAGTTTTGGATTTATTGAATTCACGCTAACTAGTTAAAATTATTACTAGAAATTGTTTTTCATACCCATGATCATATGATAAACTTTTAACAAAAACATAAAGTTCCAAGTATAGGTTGACCAGCAACTTTGATATTCACCAAACACTCAAGGATATAGTTCGAGGCGAATTTCAAAGAAACAGATCATATTTGGATCGAAGAGGTGAACTCTGCATTAAAGTTCAAACTTTACTTACTAATAAAAACCAAACATACCATAGGCATGATAATTTTTAGCAGTAAAAGTGTGGCGCTTTCTAAAATAAATATATTTTTTTAAATGTAAAAATAAATTTAAATTTGTGTTTTCAAATGAATATAAATTTAAAAATATTTGAATATTAATGTTAATTAAATTTTAGGTTATGTTTGAACTTTAGGCATTAATAAGTGATTTATTGCTTATATCCTTCTAGCCTTCGGATATTAATTAATTATTTGTACAAATGTAGTATTTTTCTAGGCAGAGGTACAAGTTTACTAGATGAAAAAGTAAGCAAGAATAGGACTTGTGAAGACGCTGGCATTCCAACAAATTTTTGCTTATGTATGGAGCGAAGGAATTTGAGCAGACTGAATAAGTAAGTTTTGTTTTAAAAACAATTACTAGCCCTAAACGCTAGTAATTGAGTTATCGTATTTTTGTTTATATTCGAATTTCATGATTAATTTCCAGTTTTTAATTTCCAGTTGTTTTCTCAGAAGTTTTCCGCTACATATTTTTTTTATTTATTCAAAATGCTGATAAATATTTATTTGTATTCAAAATTATTATTATCGCTATTACAGTTTATAAACTTTTAACAAATTATCGCAATTTAAGTTGAATGCAAAGGTTGTATTTTTTATTTATTATGAGGTCAACTTTTAAATATCCTAATTTTTTATTCATTTGTCTATAAATTTAATCTTTTGTAGGAATTCAATAGAATTTATAACTGTGGTGAAATTAGCAACAGATATAATTAAAAGTAGTGACTGTTTTGATGCAAAACAAGTTAAAGTCTTATCGGCAGGTCTAAATGTGTATGCTATCAATCAAATGGTACGACATGGTTTGCGTGATCAAAATGAGTAAGTCGAATTTGATTTAATTGATTAATCACTTAATTCATCCATTAATTAATTAATTAAGCAAATAAATAAGTGAATTAAACGATGGAAAATTAAATAAATCAGCAGACATAGCTAATACTTGTGAAAGAAATGTAGTAAATAATCAAGTAACTGCCTTAAAAAGTTGATGCCTTAAAAATTAAAATTAATGAAAATTGAAATTTTTATTTTTAGTTATTGATTTTTGAAAATAAATATTTTCCAAATTATTAATATTTTTCAATTATCGGTTATAATGTATTACAAATTGTAGGAAAATACTTTGCTAAAGTGTTAGAAAATGATTTTAGCTGGCCAAAAGTTCAAGGAATACAAGCACAATTAGAAATTTTATTCTTTGAAATTAATGTTACTGTACCTGTTCTAACTCGGAATTCAAAAAGTAGAAGGTATTTTGAATATTCTTTTTATTACTTTCAAAAAAATTAACGTGTTCTACTTTTGGAATATTTTTGCATTTAAAAATTTGTAAATATTTTGCAATTTCAGTTTAAGTATGAATTTTGAAACAGTGTTCAATTTCAGCTAAATATTCTGCAGCACTATCATGATATTCTTAGCTTTAAATAAGACAAGTATCTGATTTATTCAGAATCTTTAGAAGTTTCAGAAAATTGCCACAAAAAATAATACATGTTAAACTTTTTATCATATCCATTTCTTGCAGTGTATTGAATCTGATTCGTAAATTACAAATGAATTATTTATTATTATAGAATTCAAATATTGTTTCGAGCCAAATACTATATCAATACAAAAGAGTACGCAATTGTCGATGCACCTTATGTGTATTATGATGATTTCAAATGTAATACAAAAAATTTGCATAATTTCTGCATTAGTTGTATTTAAATGATATAATCACTGCTTGCGTTTACTCTTTGCTATATCATTCCTACTAGAGAACTTGTTAAGTTTTGGTCCTCATCTAATTAAACTTATAAATTTCGAATGTTTTCACAATATTATACAAATTCTTTGACCATTTAACCTCTGCAATTTCATTCAGAAATAATAAAGTAAATGTATGATTTATTTACAGAGTATTAGTATGAGATTTATTTCACAAATGCAAAGTTTCTTTCAAAATTTTAATTCTAAAAATTACATAAATTTGGAATTAAAGTTCTCATATTATACGTCATATTTAATTACGTCCAATAATTTATTTAATTTCAATTATGCATTTTGTTTTCGAAAGCTATGAATTATTTCATCAATTTTGCTGTTGTTTATATATTTTTGTAATTGATAATTTTCTTTATAAATGTTTATTCTGTAAATATAAAAATGCAATGTAATTACTGTTTTATTAACGCTGATAGTGGAAAACTTTATTACTTAATAACTACATAATGCCTAGAATATGTATTATTCAGTCATTAATTTCGGATATTTTCAAAATATTTAATTATTTAAACAATAAAGTTTTCCACTATTTAAAAGCAATTATTGAACAATAAGGTTTAATAATTGCAATATTTAATATTTAACAACGCAATATTTAATTTTCTTTAGCTTTACATTTGTTATTGCTGTGGAAATTTCTTGTAAAATTTGTATTTTGGTCTTAATTAGATCATTTTTTATCTGAAATAAAAGCTTACTAATTTTTTGGTGCTTTAAAGGGAAAATGCGCAGTTTGTATAGAGGAAAAACAAAATATAGATAGTGATTGAATTCATATAAGTTCGTTGTTCGATTATTAATTCGTTGTTACTCGAATTTGATTACAATTTTACTCTTGTTCATTTCGCATTTCAGTTACTTACACTAGTTTAAACAACTATTTTTACTCTTGTTATCTTGTAAGGCACACAATAAGCAATAAAATTCAAAGTACCATTCATCAAAATCAAAGTATTAAGATGATTAAAAAAATTAAAAGTTAAAAAAGTTTCCAAACACTTGTGATTTAATTAATTTTCACAGAGAGGACCACAGCTTTTAACAGCCATTAAGCATACAAATGTTTGATTTGCACTAATGATATGGGCTTAATATGTGGATTTGAGGAGTTTGGATGTCACTAAACATTGTGATTTCATAAATTTTGATTTCAGGAATAAGCATATTATGTCCAAATTTTTCAAGGGAGCAGTTTCAAGTTCAGATTCTTCTGCTTCTGAGAGTAGCGATGAGGAACCATATGTACCCATCAAAAGACCTCAGTATGTTTTTCTATGATTATATATATTCTCCCTTATAACATCTATTGTTTGTACTCTATCAAATAAATAAATTGTTAGTCATATGAATTTACAATTTAGTTCTTCAAAATGTGCACATTTTATTGTCGTTACAGAGCTGCTTTTGCATATCCCTCAGATAGTGATGATGAAGGGCAGAAGCGTGTTGTTAAAGCACAAAAAGATCGGAAATTTGAAGAGTTGAAAGATTTGATTAAGCAAGCGAAGAATTCCAAAAATATCAAGGATATGTCGAAGCTTCTGTCAAGTAAAATACAAGTAGAATATGTCGCAAATTAATTCAGTGTTAAACTAAAGCTTGAATTATTAATTCTTATTGGTGGTTGTACATAATTTTCTATTTTAATTTAGTTTCAAGCTTTCACACTATTTTATTTTCACATGTCAGATACACAGCACAAAATATTTGTGAAAAATATAAAGAAGTTGTCATTTATGTGTTGGCAAGGATTTAAATGTAATGTTTTTTAGCATTCGAAGGTTTATGCAAGATATTTGAAAAAACTAAAGTAGTATTAGTACGTCAAAATATGTCGACACCTCGTTTTTACGTGCGTATATTGGTCGAACTGGAAGATTTTGTGAATGAACAGTGGGAAGATAAAGAAGCTCGGAAGGTTATGTCTAAGGCAAATTCTAAAGGTCTCACCGCTTTGCGACAGAAGATTCGTAAATACAATAAAGTAAGCGTTGATTCATAACAACTTTTCATTCATATTTGCTTAGGGTTTAGAAAACACATCTTTCAAATTTGGCTAAAATATTTTAATGTTTTTAGGACATGGAAGAAGAAATTCGAGCATACAGGGCGGAACCAGATCCAGTTGGTTATTCAAGTGCAGATGACGAGGAAGAAGAAGACGAACCGGTATTATTTGGGATTTTGGTATTAGATTATTTCTGCAGGTCTGTGATAAGCTTATTTCTTATTCCTATAACTCTAGAGCTACTTACATATATATATATTTAGGAGGAACCTGAAAAAGATGAGCAGGAAGTGAAAAGCAAACCTCAAAAAGCTATTGAAGATTCAGATGAATGGAGCACTGACTCCAGTGCCTCTTCAGATAGCGATTCTGATCTTGATCTCGAAGGCAAACAGATGGAAGACTTACGAAAATTTTTTTTGAAGTGAGTTTCTCTAATTTCACATGACTTTTGTAACTGGTTTTAGAAAGAGATAAGATAAATTCTTTTGTTACTATTCAGAAAAGAATTCAAAGAAGGAGTTGAAACTGAAGGTAAAGAAAAACGGCAGGCAGAAAGGGCTCAGAAACAAAAGGAACAAAAAGAACGTGAGGCAAGAGAAAAAACAGAGGATAATGAAAACGATGAGACATGGGTTGCCGTGCCTACAAAAAAAGAAAAAATGCGGCAGCTTTTTGATCCTCAGACTGAAATTACTCATGAAGTAAGAGGTTACAGTTATAAACACCTACTTTCAGTAAAACTGTTTTGTTACACTTTTCTAAAAAGAGTCAGTAAAGATATATTTAGTGAGTCGTTTTGCACACATATATAATCTGTCATAAAAATTGATTTTTGATATAACATAGTGACCAGTGCATTTATATATGCAAAGTCCATTTGTTGAAAATATAATATTTGAAGGCTGTTGTCAAAAAATTGCAAGAACTCGTAGCAGCTAGAGGGCGTAAATCAACGAACCCAAAGACCTATGTACGCAATTTACAAGAATTGTTCAAAATTTCTGATGACGTAAGTTTTTATAAAATTTAAGATTTTTTTCTGTATGTCAAGATTTTGTTCTTATCACTAATAAACTCATTTTACAGCATAAACTTAGTATTGGTGTTTTGGTGAAGATTTTGTTCTCAATCATCTCCGCACTTTTCGAATCAAATACACGCATCAGTGATTGTATGAATTATTCGTCTTGGAGCAAGTAAGTCTTCAATAATTCTTCTTTATTTTATATCTGTGTATCAGTTATCATCATTATTATTTTACAGAACATTGGGAGCAACGAATAGCTTAATAGATATGTTAAATGAATATCCAGAAGTTATATTATCGGTTGCTATCAGTGAAGAAGATGAAAATATACAGGATTCATCTAAACCGTACGCTATACATGGCTCAATTTTAATGAGTGTTCATCGTTTAGATACAGAGTTGACCAAAATACTACAAAACGCAGATTGCCATAGCACAGATTACATAGAAAAGTAAGCCTCTGTCAAATATTTTTATATTTTTTAAATGTATTTTTGGAGAATTGAACGTGGAAAAGTATATGTATTAAATTTTATTACTGAGTGATATAATCAGCACTTTAATGTTCTAAATCATGGTCAATAAAGCGGTGCAAATGTTTAAGGAATTCATGCATTTCCCTTAACAATAAAGCACATGTTCTCTATCTCTTGTAGGTCTTAGTTAATGACCGATAATGTGAAAAATATAACCTTTAATCTAACTTGATAGAACAACCATCATTTCAGACTTAAAGGGGAGAAGGATTTGTGTGCCCTTATTGATAAGTTGTTGGATTATGTTAATGCGCGGTTTGGTAAAAATATATTTTTAGAAGAAGAAATTTGTAATTTATATATGCTGCGAATCGAACATCTTTACTACAAAGTGAGTTCCGTTTCTGTTGGTCTTTATTTTTTGTTTTCCATTTCAATTCATCCCAGTCAGCAAAATATTAATCAATAGCAGTTTTCGATGTTTTTATCCATTCCATTAAATTAAAATTACATGTCACATTTTTATCATTTCCATCTTAAGTCGAGTGTATATGAAGACATTTCAGTACGAAGCAGAAGATGGTTTAGAAGCAGGTCAAGAGTCATCACTCGAGGTAATGGATCGCCTCTGCAAAGAGGTATATGCACGAGATGAAACCAAACGTCTTAGACAACGTGCATTGTTATGTCAAATTTATCATTTAGCATTACATGATAAGTGGCACCAAGCACGAGATCTAATGCTCATGTCACATCTACAAGCTATTGTTGATCATTCGGATGTTAGCACGCAGGTGTGTAATTTTTTGATTTCTCTGAGTTCAAATACTACTTAAGTCATACTTTTCAAACTCATTATAGCTTCTATCGTCGAATACAACTTTGCTCCTTTCCAGTTGATACATTTGTTACATTTACTTTTCTAGATTTTGTATAATCGAACTATATGCCAGCTTGGTTTAAGCGCTTTCCGACACAGTTTTATTAAAGAAGCTCACCAAGGCCTTTCTGAAATACAAAACACACAACGTGCCAAAGAACTTTTAGCTCAAGGGATGGCTATGAGGCAGCAAGAAAGGACTGAAGAGCAGGTTTTTAAAATTACTAAGTTACTTCGAAGTGTTTTACTAAGATTCCAAATCTGAATTTTCGTCTTTGATTTAAAAATATTTTTGGTAGTTGATTGCTATGCAGGAAAAATTGGAACGTGCTCTTCAAGTTCCCTACCACATGCACATCAATGTAGAACTTATGGAGTGTGTTTATTTGATTTGTTCAATGTTACTGGAAATACCACACATGGCTTCTCAAGAATATGAACTAAGGCGACGTCTCTTATCGCGCTCTTTTCATTATCAGCTGAAACAGGTTTTTATTTTAATAGAACTCTATCAATTTATGCGAATGCGTAATGCTTTTTGTTATAGTCAGAGAAAAGCTCCCTCATTGGTCCACCTGAAAACACTCGTGAACACGTTGTAGCTGCATCAAGGGCTATGTTAAATGGTGATTGGAAAAAGTGTCGTGATTATATTGTGAACGATAAAATGAATGCTAAGGTTTGCCAATAGCTTAAACTTATCAAAAGACGCCGATGTGACGAAAAACAAGTTTATTTTCTGCAAATTAAATTCCAATAGCTTTAAAGGTAACTAGTAATTTTCAGGTGTGGAATCTGTTCCGAAATTCAGATAAAGTTAAAGGCATGGTAATTCGTCGGATCCAGGAAGAATCTTTGCGCACCTATCTATTGATGTACTCAACTGTCTACACTACTGTCTCATTGGATATATTGTCTGAACTTTTCGAACTGGATAAAAGCACTGTACACGCAGTAATTAGGTTTGTTTCATTAAGGTAGAATTATGCTGTGAGATGCTTATATTTTATGCCTTCAAAATGCTCTCAATCCATTAGTAGCTTAGGATCGCACTTCTTTAACTAGTCATTGCAGATTTTATTACATAATTGTTTATTTACCATCTAACGCCGGTAAATTAGTTGATAAACATAGCGTTTATTTTTAGCAAAATGATAATATCTGAAGAATTGAATGCAAGTTTGGATGAGCCCACGAATTGCTTAATCATGCATCGGGTCGAGCCAAGTCGATTGCAGCTTCTTGCACTGCATCTCACCGATAAGCTTACTCAGCTAGCTGACAGCAACGAACAAGTGAAATTCTTTCCAAGTATCATGAATATTCAAGTCCTTCTATCTGTGTGACTGGTTTTACAGGTTCTTGAGCCTCGGGCTGGTCGTAGTTACACAGGTCCAGGCGCGTGGTACAGTTTGCGACAAGACCGAACTACTGCGGAGCAACAACAACGACCCAGTCGCATGGCTTACCAAGTAACCTGCACATTTAATATCATCTACTAGCATAATAAACCTGTATTGCTTATCTCATCTAATATTTGAATTCGAAATTTCAGGATGCAACTAATAAGAACCGCTGGAACCCAAATGTTCAAAATCGACGCCGAATGGAGCAACGTATTAGATACTAGTTGCTTATCATATATCCATTGTTGATTGTTTTTTCACTAATTCATACATCGACTATCTGTATACAATGTCTTTAGTTATGTTTCTTTTTTTCAATAAATAGGCTCCAAAGTTCGCAGTAGGTATATGTGAAAAGCATTTGCAGTTGATTGCTTCGACAAAGTGCTGACGTATACTTCAGCTCTAGTAGCAAATTATGTTACATTTCTCAGCACTCAATACTATTTTTATCTCAACATGCAAAACACAAGTGCACAAAATTCAAGCCAATATTTATGAGCCTGCTCAAGTCAAATATTTATGAGTTACAGTATGCAGTTCACCAAACATAATGTGATTAAATGGATGATGAGTACACGGCATTTAGCAATAGAAATACCAGAAATTCAAATTATTTTGTACGTTTCTTCTTAAGTGTGCTTGAGTTCTCAGCCTGAAAATTCATAGAAAGTTATAGAATTATCACCATCCATTTCCAGTACATTAGCAACTGCATACATAAAAGCCTCTAATCAAAAGTGCAAGTGAAGTACATTTTAATTATTCTAGCTAATCTCTTAGTCTAGTATCAAAAACTCATTGGGGTTTGAAACTTCCCGAATTATATGAAGTTTCAAGCAGCATGCGCCGAAATGAAGACCGGCTTCTAATTTGGAAAACTATGATAAATATTTGGGACTAGAATGAACTTAGGATTTATTGACTTTTCGCTTTCTATTGGGGTATAACGCATCTCTTTCAGTGTCCATCACAGCAAAATCATAACTTTCACTTTCTATCGCGGATTCTCCGCCATTTCTTATGAATTCTAAAACACCATCTCAATTTCTCCAAAGTTTTAAAACAATGTTATTGAAAAGAAAACAAATAAAATATATGAGAGAAAAAAAGATTCTTCAGATATATAGTACTTAAAATATCTTGAACCTGGATATTCGTCTTCGTCTGATCCATCATCATCTGAGAAGGGAACATCACTGCTAATTTGCGAGTTTATACTATCCAATTCCATTTCTTCATCACATTCACTATCACCGGGTGATTCACATTCTTCTTTCAATGCGGCTGAAAAATTCCAGAACCAGTAAAAAGCCAGCTAGAGTAAAAATAATGACTGCATTGACTTACTACTAATCATTTCTACATTGCAATATCGTTCAATATCATCTACTGCAAAACCATCCATCTCGAGTGCATCAGTAAAGTGCGTCTATGCAGAGGAAATCCAAACTTTGCATCTGCATATCAGAATACATCCATCTGCACAGTACATTGTAACTACGTCAATACTTTTGAAGTATTCCGGCAAAAAAAAATACATTTTCCGCTTACTCATATACTTGTAATAGCATACTTATATTAAAATCTCACAAAATGATAGCACTATGTAATGATAAAAGCAAATTAATAGATAAATGGATGCAGAAAAAAGAATAAATTATAAATTTTTGCAAATTTGGTAGTAAAATCACGATTGTCACTTAATAATGCAGTAAAAATAATTTACAATATATAAATTAATAAGCTCATACCAAGTACATTCAAATTTATTGAGTCATGTAAATATGCAAAAAGTATTTCAGGTGTTTCATGCACACGTTTTAGATTTCGTGTGACGTTGTTGAATTGTTATATATTATTGACATGAAAGTAAATTAGATCTATTTTAAAATATGACGCATTTAAATTACATTTGCGCTCTGCACTATTATAAGAAATTATGCAAAAAAATAAAATTGATTTGTTTTCTTATTCTTTATATAGAAGTTTGAGCGAGAATAAGTTCTGTTTAGCAATTAGAAAACGACTCATTATGCTTGTAATTCTTTTATTGTCATTCAAATAATGAAAGAGAAGGTTAGTTAGAAACACTCGTTGCAATATGATGAGCATAATCAACATCTATCACCCTATGAAGCTTTGGGAAATGGCAGTATTATGCGTAATTGAATTTATTCATATTTCAAATAAAAGATCCGTAAAACTCATTTTATTTTGAATAAATTTTTGAATTATTTCCCAGTAAAAACAAAAAACTTTAAATATTTTGTTCGAATATGAAGCCAAATACTAAACCAATTTTGTATATTATTGATATTTGAGAAATGCTTACAATATGCATAATACCTGTAGCACTTTATCTCTTTCCTTTGATTTAACGCTTTGAAAAAAAGCATAACTGAAAAGTCAAAAGAAAAAATTGCAGCCATACAATCTGATTCCAGCACTGTCAACATTACAATATTGTTCACTCCAGACCTGACCTGATGTAAAAGAATATTTAAGAAGTCTGGAGTGAGCACTGAGCAAAAAATAACTTTTTCTATGAAGAAATGAGAATGCTGAAAGAAAGTTTCCAAAACACAATTACCAAATGAGATACTGGAAGAGCAATAAATGCGTTTATATGGACTCTCCATAAGCTGACCCCTAAATGTCTCTGTGACTAAGAAGTAATCTATAATCGATTACTCAGTAATGAGAAAAGCACACTTCATTGAGACAGAACGAGTTTCCGAAATCGATATGAACACAATGGAGACATAACTCAGTTCCATTTACATGTTGCACTTGGTAATGCTTGATCTCAAGTTTCAATTACTCTGATTACTTTTAGCTTTAAACATGCTAAGATTCCACTGAAAACAATATACTGCATCACGCAGCCATAAATACGCATGAAAGAAGAGCGGTTTCCAAGAAAAAGGAATGATGAATAAGAAATAATGCAGAAAAAACTCATGCCACACAAGCTTAGCGTAGACAAAAATGATGGGATTTTAAGATTATAATTATTGATCAAGTATACATCAGAGTGTTTTCTAAGAAATATCACTACTTGAAATTAAATTAACTAGAAATCTGCTAATCATTACATTTGAAAACACGTGCTTGAAGTCCAAAACTTCGTATAAAAGAGACAAGAATATCGACAAATATATGAATGAAATGTTTATATATGAGTAGTCACAGATGCATCTGATTAAAAATTCATTGTAACCTCGATAACTAACGCTTTCATTGGTAGCTTTTTCCAGTGAATTCTTAATTGATATGGAAAACTGCACAAGACTATGATAATTGTAGGTGTACAGAAGTAAAAGTAGAAAGGAAAGCAGAGATTTTCGACTTTTCAAAACGCTATGACTATAATGTGATTATAGATGAAAATTTTAAATCCACAGCAATTATGTTCATTAAAATAACTTTGATAAAACTAAAGAAAGCAAATGTATTACAATTTACTTCTATTCTGATGAATAAAGCAAAAGGCTTGCACTCCCTACCCTTATCTGTTGATCACGTTATTTTATTAAAACTTCATCATTTTTCTTCAAACAAAAGAGTAACTCATAAAGTATTAAAAAGAAACTCTAAAATTGAAAGAAAAAAAATTAATGTAATTTCTGATACCTGTTAATATCACTTTAAAAAACGAAAGTGACTGCTTTCCAATGAATAAGTTCTGCAAAAAAGGATGAAGAATGCAATTATTTAATTATCCTCGATAAATCATCTAGGTTTTGCGCAACACATTTTACACAATGCAAAGAGAAAATGCAGAAACAATAAACTAAAACATTAAGAAGCTTTTACTCCAGTCATTACGAAAATCTGATGAAATAAAGTGTAAAAGCGCTTTTTCTGCTGTAAAAATATCAGTGATTAACAGAAAGCTCAGAAAAATATTTTAAAAGAAAAATTTTGAAGTTGTTTATAACTACCAGAAAATTAAGATTAACAGACCTTTTTCCAAACACCTTTTGAATTTTTTGCCATTAACATGTCTCAGCAAATTATCTGGGTTTTTCGCAACAATTTTCATTGTAAGTTTGCATCCAAATTCAACAGGACTGCAAAAACTTCACTAATCAGAATTTAATTACAGAAACTAAGTTATAAACAACGTCCCTTCTTTTATTTTGAAGCCGATTTCCAGTAATCTAAATATAAAGAATAGAAGATAAACGAATTTAAGTTGAAACATTAGCCTTTTTTTTAATCTTCACTATTATCAGCAATATTTTAAAACCAATTTCTTAAGAATATGAATATGCAAATAGGTAAAGAACAATACCTGATATCGTCGAAATATTCACCAAAATTTTCCATAATTTGATGTATTCTCCATGCCCGATCAAATTTTGCTGACTTTACATATGCAGCGAGTTGATCAAAATTTGAAGAAACCTCATGTCCTGTTAATTTACATCGTAACTAAAAAAACAGTTGAATAAATAATAGAGTTATTAGTTTATAATTCACATAAAACAGTTCGTGCACTTACTAAGACATTTTTGTTCTTACTATATTAGACAACATATTATGAATCTAAGGTAAATTTTCAGATGCACATGTATTAGTAAAGGATTAATTCATAAGATTCAATTCAACTATGAAACATAGAGTTCAGATCAACATTACGAAATTCAAACCTATCATTACTTATTAAATACGACGAGACTTAACAATATCATAAAATTTAAAACCACTAAGATATTCAACACACTGAAATGATTACGTTACAAATTTTATCGAGAACGAAATTGTATATCAGTGACTATTTTAAACAGAGAAAAGTTACCTTCTTCCTATCACTGAGTTCGAAAACAGGATACTCATCGAGCAATGCTTGCACATTCTTCGTCATATCAAAACTGTGGCAAAGAATATTCTTGTAGCTTTCTGTACATCATGTATTTGTCCACACAATAATTTTACTCACAAATTAATTTGACTGCTAGTTTAAGATAATAAAGTAATTGTGTCGTAATAACTCTCAGCTATTAAAAACAAAAGTCCATAGTTTTCTGCACCAAAACTCATCTACATAAATTTATACTACGACTTTTACGTTATCTGCAGTGTGGCTAATTAACACATAGCCTATTTCACAGGTTGCAAAAATCAAAATGAACTTATGAGAATTATTATTTTCTCTTTTTGCACTCTTTTCTTTGTCTAATTCTATTCTTTTACAAAATTCATTATGTTTTATCCCTTTCAAATTGTACCAAGATTTGAACTCTTTTTTTCCTTTGGCTTTCTGTCGTTTCTACTCATTGCGAACTGTTTTCATCTATTTTACATAATAAAAAGTTTATAGTTGTATTTTTTCATCAACTCAGTACTATATAGTGCTTCATAAAATTATGATAAATTTATGGTTATTGTGATGTTTATAGTTACTAACGCTAATATTTAATTGAATGGAGCGATGGAACTCACGAAATCTCAACGACTATTTGGCTAATTTTAGCTACATTGGAAAGTAAGTGTTGCTAACTAATTAAAGTATAAACAAATTTGCTGTAAAAATCATACTAAACGGTACCAACTAATATCATTTATTCTGATTGTAATTATATGTATGTGTGGTTGGTATCAATGAGTACTAGTTAATATTTAACTCAGAATATGTCGTTTACTAGTAAGTAAACGGCATTAAAGTATTATGCCGTTTGGTAATTATGTAGAATATATGCGTTAACTTGTGCAGGATTTAGGTATAGCATAGTTTATTTGCTTTTTTAGTATAAGATGAATAGATTCTGTCTTACAAGGGATTTCAAGAATATTTAACAATTACTTTAGATATACACTGTGTGATGACGATTGGAGTGTGTACAAAAATTTTGCTTCAGTCACTGTTAATTCAGCAGAGTTCCCACATCTGTATCGATGGTTAGAACATCTAAAACTGTTGAAAAACAATTCGATGTAGGTTTATTTATATAATTTAAGATGAAAAACTGAGCTATTATGGAGTTGAAAGCCTGGTGTTAATGTATACATTGAAGTAGCGAAATTGGCTAATAATTTGTTGAAGCTGCAAATTTTCTGGAAGTAAAATCAGAATATGTCTTGAAAAAATTTTGCTTTTTATCCAACCAAAAACAATTTTCAAATGAATTCTACTTGCATTTTGATTTTCATACCTTTGTTTGTTTTATATTATTCTAGATCTTCATCCTCAAATTTCTCAGCGCTGAACAAGGTTTTAAAAAGCGAAGCGTCACCATCAGTGGTCGAAGAGGAAGATAGTACGGATTTACCTCAGAAATTATTGTATCATCTTGCTAAGCATGAAGAATTCGACTCTTTGAAATATTCTGCGGAATGCAATGAAAGTCATCAAAAGATTATAGGCGCTGTAAAAAGCTTGGAAGCAACAGAAGGAGTTAGCATTAATGATTTCAAATTTTTACTCATCAGTTCATTATATGTCACCAGTAAAACTTTTGCAGTTCATTCTCAAAATTTTTTAGATCTTAGTTCCATAATATCATTCATAATATGCTCGTGTCTTTATTTATTGGTATTATATGTCTCTCGTCAATTTGTTTGTGTAGATCATAAAAACTGAAGAAAAAATTTCAAAAACTTTGGAATTAACTCCTGAAGGAAATGAAATAGCGGAAGGTGGATCTCATGAAGCAAAAGTTTTCATGCTTATAGGACCACAAGGAGTCCATCAGGAAGAAATAATAGTTGGTGTTTTTGTTCATTACCTTTGATCATTACTTGTAGTTTCAGTGTTTATCAAGTGAACTATTTAAAAGCATTTGTGCTGTCACAGGTATTGTTAATTGTAAAATTCTGTGTTTGATAACATTTTGTTAAGCTTCATTAATATTTTTTGACAGAAGCTACCTTTTGGCAAAGTCGGAATGAGTAAAGCGATTGCATTTGGATGGATTAAAATTGATAAAAGTGCAGGCAAGCTTCGTTTGTTGCAAAATGTGGAAAAAATCGAGGACAAAGTACAGAAGGACCTTGTGGAAATTTTAAGAGGGAATGCACAGGAAGTGGATAAGAAATCTGTAGCAGAGCTGAAAAAAAGGAAATTGGTCACAGAAATGTGTATTTTTAAATAATCGTTTACGAAAGTGTTGCGTATATATATACTACTAATCCTTTTTTTCTGAGCTGAAAGATAATATATAGATTAATAAAATGTGCTGACTTTTTAGGCTCTTAAAGCTAATTGAAAAATCGAAATAAGTAAAAGTTTCTCTGAAACATGTTATCCATGCAACTTTCTGAAGTACCTTTTATTTTTAAAACTGGTACTGGTTTTTTAGTACCATCAAAAGCTATATGGTACAGAAAGGACCAGCATTTTCAACAGTCTTAAATAAGCCAGAGGTCGATTTAACAGCGGATATGATTGCCAGGTTAAACGATTTATTCATTAAAACTATTATTATTCTCTTGTAGTTGGAACAAAAATAATCAAAGATAAGGTTTTTCAGCAAGTCATGGAAAAATAAAACTTTCAAGAAGTATAATTTTAATGCTATGGGTTTGATGCCAGCTAGTGGCCATTTGCATCCGTTGATGAAAGTACGAACTGAATTTCGACAAATTTTTTTTCAAATGGGATTTGTTGAAATGCCTTCCAACAGGTAAAGTACTTTTCTAATTTGTGTGCTGGTTAAAAATACAGAAGAATTCACACTTTTTTTTTTTTGATTTTTCTCTAAAACAAAGGTAACAAAGAAAACATTTGTGTTTTGGAAAAAATTTGTTAAGTTTCCATTTTTTGTTTCATTGGTTAAAATAAAATTACTTTTCCTACTGCGTAAACTCAATAACCATATATAGGTTACTTTAGGTATGTGGAAAGTTCTTTCTGGAATTTCGATGCACTTTTTCAACCACAGCAGCATCCAGCGCGTGATGCTCACGACACTTTTTTTGTTTCGGATCCAGAGAGAAGTTATGAATTTCCTGAGGATTATTTACAACGAGTCAAAAAGGTTCACAGTGAGGGTGGATACGGTTCTAAGGGGTAATATCTTTCAATGTATGAATTTTATATTTGAAAGTTACAAGTAGTTTTACTACTATGCTAAAAAGCATAGTAGAAAAGTAAAACTTTTCCATTTTAAAAAAATGGAAAAGTTTTTACCTTTTGTCCGAACTGTGTCTTGCTAAAAAATAAATTAGAAGTTGGTTTAAACTCGAAAATTTTACCAGTACAAAGCACTTTAAAAGTCCAATTCATGTCGGACTTTTCAAATTATCTAATTACTTCGTTTTCCAGTTATAATTATGACTGGAAATTAGAAGAGGCCCAAAAAAATGTGCTTAGGACACATACTACTGCTGTTAGTGCGCGACAGTTATATAAACTTGCTACAGAGGTAAATTATCTGACTAGTCTGGAGTTGAAATTCAGCTTCATATGTTCTGTACTTTAAAGAACAATTTAACCCATTTTCAGGATGGTGATTTTACAATAATTTTGAGTTAGTAACTGTCAATGATACATTGAGATTTAATTATAAATTTTAATGTTGATGTCTATAATTTTCTTACAGGGATTTAAACCTACAAAAATGTTCAGCATTGATAGGGTTTTCCGGAATGAAACTTTGGATGCTACGCATTTAGCTGAGTTTCATCAAGTGAGTTAGAGTTAACATGCCAAATCAAATCTTGAAGATCAAGCTTTTTGAAATACAAGCTGTTGCTTCAGTTTTTTAAAATTTATAAATAGCTACTCAATTTTTTGTATTGATTCTTATTACGTATTTGAAAAAAAATGTTGCTTCAGGTCGAGGGTATTGTTGCAGAAAGGAATTTGACGCTTGCACATGTTATGGGTCTATTCACTGAGTTTTTCCATAAGTGCGGTCAGTTAAACTAATTTTTGCATCAGTTTTCATTGTTATTGGTTCGTAGCATGAACATGGAATAAGTGAACTAGTTGTTTATATGACATTCAACATTTGCTTCTAAATTTTTTGAAATCAATCAGTGTACAAGTGGTTCATGATTACTTTGATTATTTTAGGTATTACAAATCTTCGTTTTAAACCAACTTACAATCCTTATACAGAACCGTCAATGGAGATATTTGCTTACCATAAGCAGTTAAATAAGTGGGTGGAAATTGGCAATTCAGGAATGTTTCGGCCAGAAATGTTGCTACCAATGGGATTACCTGCAGACGTAAATGTTGCTGGTTATGGTTTGTCACTTGAAAGGTTGGACTTTTTTTTCACTATGATTGGCTTCTGATTAATATTGCGACAAAAGTTTTAAAACGAAAATATATTTACATATTATTTTTTTTATTGAACAGTGTTTATTTTTACTTAACAAATTTACAGACCGACAATGATTCGCTACGGTATTGATAATATACGTGATTTGTTTGGTCCAAAAGTTGATTTGCGAATGATTAATGAAAATCCAATTTGTCGGCTTGATAAAAATTAATTGGAGGTGGTGAATGTTGATAATTATTTTTGATGAATATTGTTTTTTATTGAGAATTAAATTGAAACAGTATTATTTTCAATCTTGTCAAAACAATTTAAATTCAGTTTTTTCTTTTTTTTAAACTCCGAAAAATGTTGAAGCTTCGAGTTTTGAAATTTTGTCTTGTTTCACATTGCAACTTGTTATTTCTAGCGCTTGAAATTTCCCTGAAGTCGGAAATTTTCTAATAATCTTTTCTAGTGCTAAAACGAGCTAGTTTACAAACGTGATTTTATAAAGATTATTCTTTAAATTGTTATTTCAGTAATTTTTAGTTATGAATCTATTTTTGATTATTGGCAAAGTGCATTTTGATTAAAAGCTTTCTAAACTTTCGGAAGGTTAGATAAAGACCCGAGTTTATCCAACTTTTTGTTATTGTGTATTTTGTTACTTTTAACATAATTGAAATAAAATTTCATGTTGAGAGCAACCTGTGTAGCTTCGTAATTTTATATCATTTCATTTCAGTGGTAAGAGTTATCAGTTCTTTTACTTAAAATTACTGTTTATTTTTCTGTATAATCAGTAAAACCATGGTAATTCAGGAATTACATCGAAAGTCAAATCTTCTTTCAATGTCAGTTTTTTCACTAATTGAATGTTTTTTGTGCATGGTCTGAGTACTACTTTTTGATCTCAGTTTTCATCTGTAGCAAGCAAGATACTGTTTTGCCCAGAGGTACTGTCTAGATTTTATGGTGCTGTTTGCTGATTTATCGATACATTATGTTCAGAATGTTTTTGAATGTTGGACAAATCAGTATTCATTTTTCAAGCTTGACATCAGATTTTCATGTTTGGGTAGATGTTTTGCTGTAGGAATCATCATTTTATCCAATATGAGGCATTGAATCGTCAGCATATCATTTTACCGGTTTATTAGCTTGAATATGATATTGTTTTATGGCTTCATGTTATTTGAGGCTCATATAGATCACTCATGATATTCATTTTTTGGTGATGCTTCTGGATCTTGGTATTTTATTTTTCAGTAGAATAATTTCTCAGTAAAGGAATTCGTTGGTTGCAACACTTACTTTGCTCATTGCAAAACATCAGAAAACAAGAGGTCATAGTTAGTAAGTTGTCTATTTAATTATTCGCTGTAGTAATATTTCTATATAATGTCCTTCTCTGATCTCTTCATTTTAACCAGTGTTCAATGTTGAACCTCGGATGGACAGCATGAAATCTATGTCTTATTATGAGTTATGATATGTTTGCCACTATTTCCAGAATTATGAAATTTTCAATCATTATTATTATTTTAATATTTTATTCAGTAGAAGTTACGTAATAATTGCCTTTTAAAGTGAATTTTTAAGGTATGTTGAGTATTTTCACAAGATGGACATGCCAGGGGAATGGAAGGCATCCAAACTCAGTGCTCTTGCAACCATTCAGAAATCGCTTTGGATCAACAAGGAAAGAAAAATATCGACGAAGAATTAATGACTTAAGAGCAAAAGTTGAGCAGTCAAAACGAAAGTTACCTTATGAGGAAGATTTAATTCCGCTTCGTCCACCGAGAGACTTATGGAAAGCATTTGGTTTTACAGCTGGGGTAAAGCATTATTGAATCTAAATTCGTTTTCACTACAAATTTCCCTCAATTTTATGAATTTATAGCTTTTTTCCAAATCTGAGTTAAAAAGAATTGCTTGAAAGTTTTAGGTTCAATCATCTTTTTCTCTTTAGGTTGGGGTTATATCATTTGCTACTGCTGCTCTATGTGATTTTAAAAGATACAAAAATAAGTACGTCTATTATTTCTTATTTTTGTTGTATGAGTATCATAGAGTGCACTCCTTCTGCATATTTTTTTAATCTTTCCTCAGTAAAAAGCAACTAATTTATTTATATTTATTTGATGAGGAATCAGTCCGTCTTCGTTCCAAAATGAGTGAAAGCCATGAAATAGACGAAAATTCTTCATGAAACTTATGAAATTAAAATGTCTTAATATCAATTTGTTGACTCTTTTATCGAGATATTTAAAAGTTAATTTCCAGTTGGAGTGAAATTTATGCGCTATTGAACGACCAGTGCAAAGCAGCAAAAAGTCGTTTTACCAAGTATAAAAATGCTCGAGAGGGTGTGAAATGTACTTTCTTGCTCATTGGGATAAATATTGGCGTAATGCTTATGTGGAGTATCAAGTCTTGGCAGCTATTTATGTGGAAATGGTTTACAAATAGTTTCGCTTCAAGTTTGTCATAGCACTGTCTTATATTAAATTTTGCAGACTGATCATATTGTATCCCTAGTTTAGCTTATTTAAGACTATAATTAACCAAAATTGTCTTTCTGAGATATGATGACTATAAAATTAGCAACACATTTTTCTCGTTTTTGATGTGCATAAAATCACATATTTAATTTTAGAAGCACTGTGTCTTCCGATGGTTTTAAGTGCTTTTTCTCATGCAAATATGCTTCACTTGGTACTGAACATGTATGTGTTGAACACATTTGCTCCTGTTTCTATTGATGGGTTTCTAGGAGCTGAACAAGTTAGACAGTTCAATTTTCTTTACTATCTTTAGCTATCATTTTATGTCTTTCACATTTTTGAATCATAATTTTCATATTTACTTGGATTTTAATTGACCTTTTCTTTCTGATCTTGTTTTTGAAATTACAGTTCTGGGCTTTTTATATAACGGCTGCTGCAGTGTCATCTTTAGCTGGAATAATGCATAAATGTTTGGTTAGAACGAATCGAAGAGCTCTTGGAGCAGTTAGTTAACTTGCTTCTGTATAGCTAATATATTTTTTTACAACTCATTAAAAAGCTTGCCACGATAGTGATTCATATTGCATAATGATAATACAATGCGCTTTCAAGAGTGGTGCGGTAATGGCCTTATTAGTATACACATGCATGAAACTGCCGGATGCAAGGCTGAAAATTGTGTTTGTGCCGCATTTTGACTTCTCGGCACAGTCAGCTGTAATTGGGATGATTGCTTTTGATTTTATATGCTTGCTGCTTCGTTTCAAAATCTTCGATCATGCTGCACATTTAGGAGGATCACTTTTTGGATTGTAAGCTCTTGATTTGAAATACAAAGCTTTAAACAATGAAATTCGAGGACACTTGTTTTCACAGCGTTTGAATTACACGATTTATCTTTTCTAAAGATCTCATTTTAGATTTTATGGTTCGTTTGGGGAGCGTTTTATTTGGAAGCAGTATGGTGATACAGTAATTGCACTATGTGGTTTAAATCCTAATAAACGACGAGATATGCAGGGACCACAACGTAGTAGAAACTCATCGCCTCCTCGATGGTGATTTTCAAGTGAACAATATCGGTCTCTACATTGTGTTCGGATTTTTCGGAACTGATGATATTGCTAGTTTTCATACATGTGGAAAAACGCTAAGCTGCAGCTGAAAAGTAATATTTTATTATCGAAAGACAATCTTCTTGACATACACAATCAAGGATTACTGAAGTTACAAGCACACCATGTGCTTTGCTTGTAATGGCTTGTGACTCTAACAGCTTTCAACTGCTTGTAATTTCAACTATTTGTAATGTCAAGTTTTCTTCTACCTTTTAAAAAAAGGCATAATTATTAACAACATTTTTTGTACTATAAATGATGTCATAAACTTATACCTTTTAATAGTTGATTCGTATTAATATAAAGCATTTACATGGTTATTTTGTCATCACTTAATGGGTACATTAATCAGAAACTGTATGAACTAGTATATTATTCATACTTGATGCATGTTGAAATGCCATGTGTGTGATGTCCAAGCCATTTTAGTATTAAAAATATGTACAGTATACAGGAATTACATTATTTGTGTGAATCAGTTCATAATAGCTGAGCTAAAATCTTATGAATGCTAAGTCATAATAAACACAAAAATTTGAATATTTACTTTTTTATTTGAGCATATTTTATACATTTCTTTATGAATTTATAAAGTACTAACAAGTCCCAATCAACGACTCATTTTTGAGGAACATGAGATGTGATTGAAATCGAAATTCGCGTTCGGATTTCTTTTTGGTCTTTTATAATTAATATGATCTGGATTTCTCCAATTATTCTGCCACTGTGACTCGCGACTTGCCTTTTCATTCCAAAATCGTTGCTGACCATCGCTACAATCATTATCTACTAAATTTTTATGAATTTAAATCTCTAAATTATCTTCAAAATATAAATTATTCATTATCATTCGCTTTTAATACATTTATTGATACAAGAAATAAATGAGTGTTACATTAAACCATACAAGAAATTTAATGGACGTTTTTCTGCTCTGTTCCATGGATACACAATCATCTGATTGGGAAAGCCACGAGCAACTTCGGCATACAATTCGTTGGCCTGCAATTTTGCAAAGTTTTTTCTTTCTAATTTTTTTCTAACATACGAGACGTTCTTCCTTACCATCGTATATCGAGTAGCAAATAATTTATCTAGCTCATCTTCTGTCTTCTGATTGACAAAGTCTTGGCTGCCAAAATCGTCATCTGTCTCTGCAATTAAAGCATTAGATTAAATTTCATCTAGCATGACTGAAAGACCTTTACGTCACATACTTCGCCATGCCGTCACTAAATTAAAATATCTTCTTTACATGCATATATTTTTGAATTTATTCAAGCCTTAAACGATACCTTGGTTTTGGTTGCTTGAACTTTGCGGAGACAAACATTCTGTTATGCGGCTTTCACCAAGATCTTTATTCGAATTCAGTGCTCTTGAATCCGTTGTTTCCTTCATATCAGTCATGCTTCAAATATATTTGTAAGCCAATGCATACTCCTAATCACCACGATATTTGGCTAATACGATGGAAAAAGATAAAAAAGAAATTTCGGTGAATTTGCACATAAGGAACGCGAAGGACAATATGATAAAGACACTGCGAGTGGAGGAATCTTTATTTTGATTTTAAAAACATGAAGTAGTTTTAGTGTCAAAGAACTATTCAAACAAATAAAATTATCCAATGACCACTCTTTGAACAGTATCTCCTCACCTTACTCGTACTAGCATTGCTTGCAAACTCTGAATCTTCAGTATCTTATATTTAAACATGTCACATACCATGTTAATGATATCATATTAACTACGTGTAAAATAAAATGCAGTTATTTTACACGTAATTCTAGTACACTACAAAATTGAATGTACAAATTTCAAAATCTCGCGGCCTGATGCATTTTTGCAAGGTTTTATTTCTATAACAGTACTGAATATAAATTTTAACCAAAAATTAGCATTCGCCACATCTTAATTTGGCATTTGCATACTTAACATTTCTGTAACATACAATACTACGCGTGTTAAGAAAACGTCACTATTATCTGAATAATATTACCAAATTTAATAATTCATATCAAATTTATATTTTAAAAATGAGTAATGGCCTATTACACAATAGCAATATAGAAAGTAATGCAATTATAGCGAGTAAATAAGAATCTTATTTATGTTTCTAATTATAAAAACAAGGCATTAAACATAGGAGTAGAAAATATTATTAAATATTATTTAAGCATAAAAATCGCTCCAATTATGTACTCGATTAATTCAGAACATATATTGCCCTACTGAGTCCCTATTTTCGAAAATTATTTGCTAAAATTTATAGATCGTCCGAAAGAAGTTTATATAAATAAATAAACATTCGCAATTTAACGAATCTAGGAAGGGCTACCCTCATCACTACTTGAACTGCTACTTGAGTCAGAGCTCATTTGTTCAACATTCGTTATAGGGGGTGGAACTCCTCCTCTCATTGGATTTTGATACGAAGATGGACTTGGTAAATGTGGACTGCACTGCGCTAACGTTGGACGACGTTGCAAAAAACTTGCGCCTGGAGCTCCACTCATACGTGGAGTAATGATATTTCCTCGACCTGCTGCACCTCGACCACGTGGAGATGATGACGTTTGTTGAACAAATGTACCCCGTGGACTCCAAGACCTAAAATGCAGTTAAAATCTGATATCAATTAAGATACAAGATAGAGGACTACTGATGAAATAATACTTAGATTACATTACTCGAACGCCGAATAATTACTCAACTCAAATTTTTATCAAAAAATTTTTATTCTAAAAGCACCATAATTGCTGAGCAATGAAAAGAATCATAGCATTGAAAACTATTTGAATCAACAAAAAACCATTTTGTGCAATGTTGGAACAACAAACACCATTTTTCAAGTTATTTCTCTCAATATTCGGCACAAAATATAATTACTCATGTCAGTTCTTTAATAATAAAGCACTAAGCAGCTATACTGTCCATAATTCAGAATATTTACATTAATAAACATTTGTTAAATTTCTTGAAATAAATCGCTAAGATTAAGAGCATGTTAAATGAACCCTTTTGTGATAGTTTACTAAAACTGATTAATACCAAGCACCACCTTTGCTGTTGCATAGCAGCTGAATAGGGAGTTATTGGTGAAGCACCACGCCCAGTACCGCGTAAAATTCCACTTGTACTAGCAGTAGGTTGACGAAGGAGAGATAGTGCAGGAGGAACTGCTTGCGTTGCTACACGTGGTGCTGCTAAAGCCGAGAAACGCAACTCAGCCTTTAAGCAAGTAATAATAATAGCTACTATTTTGTTTGATAGTAATTACAAAAACTGAAAAAAAAAATAGAAAACAACAAGAAATAGATCCACCCTTCATAACTATTATCTTGTAAGCAAACATGATGATTACTGTGCTTTTATTTATTTTTCCACATGAAAAACGAACCTCAGTTGGAAATGGCCGTGAAGCATCACCAATCTGCCAAGTAAGCGGGGCTGCTACAGCATATGTTCTGCTGATTTGATTGGCAAAGCGAATAATCGTCTCACTATTTACGCGATTTGCTTCTGATTGACGCATTTCCTTCACCTTTTTGTCAGCCTAGATAGAGAATCAGTAGACAAATCGAAATAATTTCAAAGATTAACTATTTTGATTTCAAGTCTAACTTTTCTTATGATTATATTTTACAATCAGCAACATCATAAACTTCTTATTAGAAAGCCGAAATCAAAGAGAAAGACATGAATTAGAGGATGTGATGTGTTTTACTTACTTACCTGAAAGACTGCTTTCGTGAGAAGACTTTCTGCATTCATAAGTTGATTCTGTAAGCTTCCAATAGCGCGATCACGTGCTTCAATCTCTGCCTGCAACCGTCGAATTTCCTGTTCTCTTTGCTGATAAGACGACACTAAATACAATAAAAAGCAGAAAACTTAAAATCAAAGTTAGTTCAGTTCCTGAAGTTTAACGTGAGATAAACCTTCGGAAATCAATTTCAGTAGTTCAGCATGCTTTTTTCGGAATGATTCACAAAGAGATGTAAGTGATCCACAACTTCGATCTCGCTCCAAAACAAATGCAACAATCTGGAATGGAAACAGGTTTTCCAAGATTATCCAATCTTAAATTCCAGTAATCAAAATGCTGGTTTCCAAATAAGAAATACAAAAATGTGTTGAATGTTATTTTTTATATCTTCTAAAATAATACACTCCCAGACCACCAAGTCCACTTCAAGTTTCTTATACCATTTTATAAATTTACAAATAAACTCCTGAAAAATGCCTGGTTTCGTTTTGCTGATTAATACGATCCTTCTCTTCTTATTTCTTAACAAGTACAACACAAGTATAAATGAAAAAGTTTTTGCAGCAGATACAGAAAAAGTAACAGTATTTCGGAAGTTAACTGTAATAATGTGTTAATATTTAAAAATACGACCATATTTAGACGGTTAATACTAATTAATTACGATAAAATGTTAAACACATCTAAAAATAAAATAATAATTGACTTACGAGTCTAAAAGTTCGGCTTTCTCTCGGGACATTATACTTGACTAGAAAATTTTGAAAATGAAATCAAAATACACTACTACTCTTATAACAAATAACATAAGCTCCGTGGGAATTTTTTTCTACTCTATCAATTTTGCTACTTAAATACTGTTACCAATCTCTCAATCAAAAATTATGAAAATAGGAAAAAAAATAGTCATAAAGACGTACCATTTTTGTAACCGCTTCTAAATCTTCAGTACTTTCAAACAAACGATCTTTTAAACTACACCCATCATTGAACATCGTTCCCATATTAGCAATCTGAAATTTAAAGGATTTATAGAGTAAACAACTGAAATCTACCACTCGTCAACTTAAGGTTTATGAATTCGAAGCAACTTCTAATTTCATGAAAACATTTTCACCGGACAGAATGCAACAACTATGGATCACTTTCAAAAGTAATTCAAAAGATATATGCACCTAATACAGCACTGTAATTGATCCGGTTTTTAATGACCTACTTGTTGATTTGGCATTTAGATGATTCTGAGATAAATACTTGTCTACAAATCACTTCTGAGAATATTTTATTGCTACTTGAAAATTGAGCGTGAACTGAATTGAATCACTACAATTGATTAGGCATTTGAAAGTGTTAATATCCAAATCTCTCATTATACATGAAAGTTTGACAATTTTGTTTGCCTTTTACTGAGTAATATTTATGTAAAAATTGTTTATAAGAATAAAATGACTCCTATAAATTTTTATAAATTTTATCGGAATTTGCTATTATTAAAAATAGCGCATATATTTAAGGTTGAAAATTTGTCAAATTTTAAATGAATGTGATTTGACCCCTTTATTTTATGCCATACTTTACTTTTTTTAAGTAATCATGTACTTATGTTTTTTTAATCTATATCCAATTAAATAGTTTTGAAGCATTAAAATCGAATTATAAGTACTTCAATTTCGAAAAATAGTATTATCGTATTTGTTATTTTTATTAATAATGATAGCACAAATGATGATAATAAATCAGGATGTATTGCCTGAACAAGACTCGTCATCTTGTACTTCTTTCAATAGTAATATTCATTATTTGATGATACCTTAGTCATAACTTGGTGCATGGTACCATTTGCCAAACAAATGGTACCATGCACCAAGTTTCTTACCAATTACAAAATTGATTTACTGCAAGCGAGGTAAACCAATTTTGTAAGTGGTAAAAAAAATGATTTTCTAGTATTCAAATTTAGTCATTATAAATGCTTTACTTTTTTCAAATAAAATTTTCTTTTGATTGATACTTTCCTTCAAAAAAAAAAACGAAAATTAATTGTTATCAAAATATTAAAAATATAGTTATTGTTAGAATAGTAAAATATCTGATAGGTTTTCATATTTGATAATTAGGTAATTAAAAAAATTAGTATAAAATAAATACTTAATATAAAATAAATTAGTATAAAATAAATAATTAGTTTCCATATTTGATAATTAAGTAATTAAAATAATTAGTCTTTTTTTTTGATAATCATTGTAGTGTGCTAATTAAAAAATTTTGTGTTACACTCAAATTTTCGCTATTATCTTTTCAAGCAAACTTTTTACGCATTTACTTTTTGATTACTTAGAATATACTTACTTAGTCAAACGCACATTCAAATCTAAACTTTTGAAGATTACCTTTTTTGGATATTACTTTTTATCTTAATTTCACTTTTTTGAATGCTACTTTTACCTTAATGAAGCAGTTTTTGTCTTTTTTCCGAATAATAATGACTGACATATATTAAATTGTTGATAAAACTTGATAACTTTGTCAGTACTCAATAGCTACGTCTGGATGATATTTTTTAAATATTAGTTCTAAATTTTGCACTGTATATATTCAAGTCCTCACATAAAATGTTTTGTGATTGCTAAAGTTCAAAATCAATATTCAAATTTGAATAATTAAAATTCATTTTTATTTCAAATGTTAATTTTCAGCAATCATCCGCTGTATAAATATTTTTCCTCTTTTAACAAAAACTCAGAAATAATCAAATTACTTCACAAAATAAATTATAAAAAATAATACAACAAATGCATATAAATTTGCTTTACAATTTCCCTTTTTGTAGACATTCTCAATTACCAATAAATTTATTTGGCAGAAGTATTCAAAGCTGATCTTTTTTTCATTTCAGTTTTAAAGAAGCTAAGATATGCTTATTTCATATTTTCGAAAAATTATTATAATTTACTCTTGATAAAGCTGTGCTGATTTATAGAAAGTCGTTTATTTGTGGCATTGTTTTAAATTCACTAATTAATATGTGAATTAGTTTGTTAATAATTACCCAATTATAGTTAAAAAGCTATAAGTTTGGATTATCATTTAACTTATTTCCTTACCAACTTGCATAAAATAGAAAAGCAAAGAGTCAGCTTTTAGAAATTCAAAATACAAAAATAAAAATCATTTTAAATTGATAGCTTATAGTAAATAAGGCTCATGAAATGGTCTAAAAAGTAATGAACCAAATTATTTTTACTTCATTGAATTCAAAACTGATAAAACAGTTTGTGTACAATATTGAAGCATTAACTTCAAAATGACTTATCAAACTCTTTCTTTTTAATATTGCATAGATTTTGTTATAACAATTTTTTAATGTTTTAATACAAAAATCAAACTTCAATATTGTATACAAAAGTTGACAAATACATTCTGATTCTTGCGTTATAATCTTTTCGTTTCCTTATGAATAAATGAATAATATTTTTGTTAAAAATAAAAAATAAAGGCAGCAATAATATTTTTTATTCAATGAAAAAGCATATCATTAAAAGATATCAGACATTTAGAAGCTAAGAAAAG